CTTCTACCCAATGGGTTGCTGCTAATGCTGGAAATCTGGATAGATGTATTTGGAGGCAGTGAAAAGAGCTGGGAAACAATCAATACATAAATCTCTGATGGGGTCTACTTGCTCCGGCAAATACAAAAAAAACCTCACATAACAAAAAAAGTAACCAAAACTCACGGTTTCCCTTTTTGTTTTGTTTGATACAAGTTTCTTCTGCATTTTAATGGATTTTATCATGTTTCTGTTATCATGTTATTGTTTCACGCAGCTCCACTAATCTTAATTATAAGCCTCACAAAAATTGAAACAAAGAAGGCACTTTTTTTATAAAAAAAAATTACATGCACTATCTATTACTTTCTCGTAATCCTTCTTAAATTCTCTTTCTCCATTTTGTCTTTGAGAATTGGTCCCGCCTGCATCTTCTCTGAGAGTCCTTCTACTCAAGCACGGGATTACATTCGATTCTCTATTTTTGTGTGTTTATAATGGGTCGTAGTTTATAAAAGTGTGAATCAAATTTTGTGATTGTAGTATTAATTGTCTAAATAAAGACTCTATTATTTTAAAAATTATTGAGATGGAGATAAGGATGAATAGATGTGTGGGGATCTAGTAGTGAAATAGAGTGGGAAAGTAGGGATTGTTTACTTGGATTTGCCGCAAAAGATTTTTAGAGTTTCCCGCCATAAAAAGTGAACAACTGTGATGAACCATCATTCTCTTGTACGTCATTTCAGGTGAAAAAGCTCCCATCGTTTTCTCTCTCTTTTAAATTCGAATTAAAACGGTCAGATTCCTCTTCCGTGCCTCCAACAGTACGATAGATCATCAAACTATTACTGCATTTAATTTTTGTAAATTTGTTATCTGTATATTAATACTACCCATGTTTACACCATTACTGTATTTAAGCTTCTTTTTTTTTTTTTTTTACGTTTGGATGATTTCTAACACTCTTTCTGTATGTATGTAGTAAATTATAGACGTTGATGTATATTTATACAGTTTCACGTTTGAGTTTTCTTCCGCTGAACTGGGATCATTAGTATTTTTTAAAAAAATCCATTTGCGAATTAAGCATTAATAAAAAGTAAGAAGAACAAAAAGGAGCATGCAATTGGCCTCGGGATTTTTGACGACCGGTAAGTATAAGCACGTTAATTCCGAAACCGCAATTACATCGGCAGGGTCACACGGGCCGGGGCAGCACCACATTTTATCAACTCGGGTACGGTCAATTGCATTGCCCACCACAATTTCGGTTTTTTTAATGCTTTTATCATCACCATCATCATCAATCATTTGATTAGTCCTAATGCCCAAGCCCAAGAAATTCAATTTACTGGAGTGAATTACTCGGTTAAAAAACATATGTCCGGGCCTAGACGTCAAGACTCAAGATGCTTGAGAAATAAATTGTGTGTCTCGCCAGTGATAGAATTATTATTAATTTTTTTTTGCTCATGAAATGGGTTAATGTAGCGAAAAGTTTTATCTTCATGGCACCAAAAAGAGTTATGTACGTCAAGATCATCCTAACCAATATTTACAGATTTTTATTTTTATTTTTCAATGGTAGTGTATAAAAATGCTCTCGCTTCTCATTTGTATGAAAACTATATTTTCAGATGGTTGACGTTTACTAATTGAAGGTCAGCGAGTGTTAATTCTAGAATCACACGGCTGTGACGGTAGGTTTTTGCAACCAAAAAAAAAAAAAAACCCATTGAGGTAGATATAATCTGGTTACAACTGAATAAGGAGACGTGTTATACGAGATTACTCTTGTGAATTGACTTCCGATGGTGACAAAAGAGTTGTTAATTATTTGTAAGGATGGGATATTTGTCTTAAGGTTGCAATGGATATGAAGTCACATGTACTACTAGTCCAATGAAAGTGAATGATATGTGTGTTTATTCAACCGTCATACTTGCATTTTTTTTCCCCTTTCCCAAATCAAAAATTTAATTTGTTACAGAATTTAATTCAGACAGAGTGAATATTACTATAATAGTTTGACAAATGGGAAAAATGATATCTGATTAGAGGTTAATCAGACAGGAACTTTACAACATATCTACGTTGAATTTGGTCTGGATTCTGAAATAAAACCTACGTAAAAAGAACAGTTTGTTTTGATCCGTGAACTCTATACGTTAAGAATAGATAATTTTTTATTTTTTCTTTTCCATCGGAGGAAAAAGTTGATCACCGCCATTGCGATCCTAATGAGTTAAAATCAAAGATGGACAGGTTCTCTGTGTTAGTCCACGCGCGCAGCAGTGTCTCAATTGTAAATTTGTAAGATCCAGAAAGTAATGTCCCTAAAATTCAGATGAATCTTCTTGTCTTCATTCACTCCGATGACGATGAATGAGAAAACATACTACGTATTTGCACATGCTCACTCCCATCCTCGAAACCATGTTAATGTTCCAAGGTTGTCTCTTCAACCTAAAGTGACTCAAATTAATGATTGATCCAGTAGTATAAATTATTAGTACTAGTAATTAATATTGAAAGAAATGAAGAGAGGGTATTTAGTGCCAAATTGTGGTAAGAAAAGTAATACTAAAGTAGAAGAACTGGAAGTCCGATGAGCATATATATATATATATATATCCATAACAAACAAGATTAAAAGGGTAGTAATAGAGACATTCAAAGAGACTTAACAGAGTGCATACATACTGTCAACAGATTGGCAAACAAGGAAACCACGTTCTTCCCCACATGCTGCAAAACTGTTGTGTCATACTCACAATGGAAAAAAAGTATATAGTATATATTAGTAGTATATAAGAATAATGGGTTTGAAAATAGCGCCAAACCTTCATTATTTCTTTAATAATATGTAAATTATATGCCAGGTGATGTAATCACCAGAAGCAACCATATTGAAGGAGGCCAGCCACTATGTTGTTCAGTTCTAGTGCCAGGCAAATTTCCAGAAATCCTGCCTTCTTCTTGGTCCTCCTTTTTCTTCTCTGAACTATATCAGTCAATAAATATATCATTCAAAAATTTATTTTGGCAAAGGACCAACCCACTTAGGCTTCCAACTCAACTTGTTACATTCATACCTATTTAAATGAATAGATTACACAACTTTCTTTGTAATACTTCCGTCCCAAAATTCAAACTAAATGTGAACTATTTTTTTGGAACGGAGATATAATAAAAAGACAATCAATTTAAAATACGTCAAAATAAATATGAATAGTCTATGCGCTATTCTTTTTAGTAAGAGCAGCTTCCAGTAATCCAGTTACAATCTTCTGTGTTTGTTTGTCCAGGAAAGGAAGTAATGATAGGTAAACTGATTAGACTACTTCCTAACAATAACATCAATCCAAAATTTAGGATTCCTTTTTCTAGACTTTCATAATGTTGGATCCGAACAAAATTTCAGAAAACAAAGTAGACGATCGTGTAGGCTATAAAATTGATGTGCAACTTTATTTAAGTCGATTGATCCAAGCTGATGCATGCGTGATCCTTCTTTTTTCGTGTGAATTTTCAGTGCTTACTCTTATTATTATTGAGTATATATTTTTCAATATTTCTACGGTCGATCTTAAAGTTGCCTTATCATATTTGACGTGGGTCCAAAATGTAAAGCCGAAAAGGAGGGAGAAAAAAAAGAAGAAGAAAAACCATTCTTTAGGGCTTGGAATTTATATAGCAAATTGTTTCATTTCAAGGAAGAAATTAATAAAGCGATATTGGAAAAAAGCCATTGCTTTCAACAAAATTCAAAAGGGAGGCGGTGTTAGGCGATAAGATTAAAAAAAGGGACTAATTGTAGTAAACGACAAGGCATGCAATTTGATCATTCTAGTTGGAAAAAAAAACATGATTTTATTACTGTAAGTTTCAAAATGAACTGAGAGACAGAAACGCCCCCCGGATCAAGGGAAAAGAGAACCCATGTCGGGAGCAATGGCTTTTTTCCACCGAAAATTCTTAATACACACTACATGCAATATCCACTTTTAGTAGATACAACAAATTAATATAATCTCTCGTTTTAAACTTGGAGAAACTCTAAATTCTTTATTTTCATTCCATTTGTGTACAGATTATAAAAAACTGAAATTCGAAAGTTTTGGAGACCACTCATTTTGACTCCAACACGACTCCACGTCTTCAGCCATCCCACTTCCATCACTATCTGTCGTCCCTACTACAAATCTGTACACAAATGCTTTGCCGAAGCTTTTTTTTTTTTTGGTACCAGTTCCCATATTTAAATGGGCCGTCTTTTTTTTTTTTGTTTTTCTATTCTTTTTAAGTTCATTTTCCTTTTATTAGTGGAATCCCACTAGGATAATACTATACTATTGTCTATATAAATAAGTTCATACTATTACAAAAGAAATACCGCTTAATAGTCCATAAGTTCTGCTACTTTGTAGTTTGTACCCTCTTTCTTTTTATGTCCATTTCCAACAACGTCATCAGCCGTCCACTCTAAACTCTGTAGTGAAGGAAAGAATAAAAGAGAAATTTACGAATTAGAGGTTCGACTTGGAATTTGCCTCGGATTGGTGGCCTGGTCTCTGATTAATCTCATACTAGAAGTCCAATCCATATTCAGCTTACGATATTCTTTTTCCCGGCCAGCTTTTAGTAAGTTCACTAATTAAACGGCCTTATATCGTAAGAGCCCAGCATGTAAACGCGGTCAATTTCGGAATTAGCTTGTGAGTTGTGAGTGTGTTGATTGTTACCTCCATCTGATGATCTAAAATCTAAATGCTGCTAATTGATGATATTGACATGTTGTGGCAAAAAACTATTTGTGACACAACACTACTAAAAGGGAATGTTTTAGTTTCACACGGACATTTCAGGTGAACACTTCAACGTCTTTGGTGCGACTAAAGACGTATCAAGTAGCGGCCACTAGTGTAAATGTGTAATGTTCGATAAAAAGAAAAAAAATTACAACCATCAAAGAAGAAAAAGAAGATTTTTTTTTAAAAAAAAAAAAACAAAAAAAAGAAAAGAAAGATATGTATTCAGGCTTTTATATCGTTTGTGTGTGGGGGGGTGGGGGGGGGGGGTGGGGAATGGGAAGGGGAAGAAAATTAGCGATTGAGGCGTTTACAATCTCTGTAAAAGACAAGATTGTTCAATCTATGCAACATAATTTACAGAACCTCTCACCATTATCATATTCTGGATGAAAAGGGGATTACATAGAGAGGGCTTACAACTTACAAGGGTTTATTATAATTTACAGATATATGGGGCAATGTACAGATATACACAAAAAAAAATTAGCAAGAAATGTCACCCGATCCAGGAACGAGTGCCTGAGCAAACTTGTTCAAGGGAATAGAGACAGCAATGGACTGGTCTGATTCCCAATTTTCTCCAAGGATATCTACAAAGAAAATTCAAGACCATCTTAGCAACCCCAAGTAAGATGCAATGTAATAGCCTAGGTATCGCTCACTAATTAACACTACAGATACCATTTCAAAAAAAAAAAAAAAGAAAAAGAAAAAAAAGGAAGCTGAGATAAGTAATTAAGACACAGAAAAGTTGCAGAAGCAAATTTCTCAATGGATGATGTCTATCTCAGTAAAGGCACACACGCAACGCAACTTACCACTAGAAGATCCTCATCTGTACCAAAGGCTTTCCGGGCCTCTTGCAAACGTCGCAAAGGGATCCTCTCATGTTTCCTGCAAAACAAATGTCGCAATAACTGTAACTCTGGCAGAGAACAAATCCTTTCTTTATGCAGGAAAAAGGTCAAAAGGAACGAACTCAACAAGCACTAGAACAGGTACGCTAAGATAAAACTCCACAGCAAAAAGTGAAAACCAACCCAAATTTTTAAAGATTGTAGATGAACTATTTCTCCATGCTATTCTTCTAGAACTACATTCCCAAACTTAAAGTGCTACATATCTTTATCCAATATGCAAATTGAGAGAAACCATTAGAGAATCACGCTAAACCTTGAGCTTGCAGGATCCCGAATTTCAAATTCATTAGTGGAGCAGTCATAGCCGCAGATTATAATGTAATGACCTGAAAAAGTAATTAAGACTTCAGATTATTCGAACTGGCACACATACAGACAAAAGACCAAGAGGAAACAAAGGAAATTGATGAAAAAGGAAAATGTTTGATTTAGCTGAGCTGAAGGAAGCAGAAACATTAACAATAGCTTCATGCAAAACCATGGGCACACGAAATAATGCAGAAACACGATAAAGCTACACCAAAGGAAAAGTACTCACCAGTATAGCCTGGGTTGTCCCTATAAATACTCGAGATACATACATCCTCTAGCCAAGATCGACTGTAAACATGTAACATTAAAGATAAAATCAAGAATAGAGTAAAAGGCTTTCTTCCCAAACAGAAAGTAACAAGAACATAGTTGATGAAAGGTTTACCTTAATATGTATTGATCAACTAGAGCAATCGCAATATATTTCCCAGACAAGATTAGAGAAGAGAGTTCTTCTCCATTAAACGATCTGCACTGTAGAAAAGGAGATGAAAATTTGTTACAATGTATGAACAACAAAATGAAAATGAAACTAGGCACCAAGTGCCAAAATGAAGATTCTTTGTTCAAGAGGAGGGGAAAAAGAACAAAGAAATTAATAGAAGCGAATGAATTTGAAGCAAAACAAAATATGGTGAAGCCATAGGAACAAAAGATGTCATAAGTAAAACAATGGAAGGAGAACTTCATCTATCCTTTTCATTTTCTTCTTCATTTTTTATTCTTCGTCGGAAAAAATAAAACTCTAAGCACAGTGTTGCAGCCCTCTAAACTGAAAAGTGGCAGTTAAAAAAATTCTACAAATATACTTACCTCTATATTTATTCCAGTATCACGTGCTTTCTTAAACAACATATCAACACGCAGTACATCATTCGGTAGCTGGTCCTGCAAAATTTGCTTCTTTGAGAATTGCAGTAGACCAGCAAAGATGTGTAAAGTTCTATAAGTAATTTAGTCACCAAATTGTCAAATAACTGTCTGCACCCTAGACCTAAAAATTTCCATCCATTGAAAACGAAATATTGTTCTTCCTGCTAAACAAATATCTTCAACACTAGGTGTAGGAAGCAGCGCTTGCAAAAGCTACGCAAACAAGGACATTATGATGGTGAAGACCAACAACTCCAAAAATATAACATAACCTGGCCAGACAAAGGAAAGAAATATGACATGACATGCCATAAAAGAGCCACAGATCACGCCTGCAGAATAACATTTCTACACCATCTTGGGGACATACCAACCAAACCTTGGAATGTTCGCAATATGTAAGATCCGAACTAAATATGGCCTTCATCAAATGTTTTAAGTAAAAAATAGGCAGCTTCCTTAAGAGTAACAGTAAGTTGTGCACATCAGAATCATAAAAAGGAGCCTAACTATTTTATTTGGTGGGCACCAAATAAAAAACTTTGATGAACAAGTTTATCTCGTAGCTGCCAATAACTGACCATCATTTGCAAAAAACAAAATCACATTTATCAAGTAGTCTACCAACGATAACTAATACGCGTCCAAGCCACTATCTGAGATCTTTTGGGCATTAGATCAGATGTTTGCCTCACTAGATATATTCACAACGATAATTGGATAATATGAACATAAAAACCTTCAAATTCAGCATCAGCAAGTACCAATAATTGAAAACTAAAAAGAAGAGTTAATAATAATAACAATATCATGACGTAAACATAAAAGTGCATTCATGAGACTGGAATTACCTTGTAAAAAGTCTCCACCGAAAAATTTGGGTTTGCTCCTAAGGTCACAGTAAAGTAGGAAAACTTAACTGAAAACCTCTGCAACAGATATGCCAAATCAACCGTCCAAATACTGCAGAAAAAAAAAAAACAGATTGAGAGAATGTTAATGCTAATTGTTCACAACCAAATGAAAACTTTGATTGGAAAATCTGGTAACGTTCAATTCCTATACCAGGTCATAATGCAAGTTAACAACACCAGTCATGTATATCTAGCTCAGCAAAAAAATGCACATAGAACTATAAAGAGCCTGAATGTCGGACTCATACTGTAAAAACAGCAGATAATCATCCTTTTACAGTTTCAAAACGCAGAAACTAATATATACTATCAAGTTGAGGACAACAAAACACCTTGTCGTACAGCAGAGCTCTTCCAGTTCCTGGATATCTCCACTGTGGATGCCAAGAGTTCTCAGCACCATCAAAACACAAGCAAGACCACAATCCCAAGCATGCTGCTGGTTGATGTGCGGCACCTAAATGGGTGAAACGCATCTTTGCACGACTCATTAATATCACAGCACAAAAACAACAAGATGAAAAGATAACACTTAAAAGAGGTGCACCAGGTAGGACTTACTTCAAAAGATCGGGCTGTGGTCTCAGTCTCACTATCCCACTTCTCTTTGCTTAAAAGAAGACTGAACAGGTAAGATTCAACTAAATTGAAATTACCCCGGGCAGGTTCTTCATTATCTACTTCTTCCAGTTTCAACAATTTGTTGACTAGAACATACAAAGGCCACATCTATGACTGGATAATCAGCAGTTTAATATACTGCACAGGAAAATATATAGGTCACTCCCAGCAGCAAACCTATCCGAATAGCTGATTATAACTTACTGCAAATCAATAAAATGAAAACCCAATTCAGAAAACATCCAACTCAACCTCGGAGATATCTTCCTATGTTCTTACAGTTTCTAAATTTACTATGGTACACTAACAAGAAACAATTATTTTTAAAGGACTTTTACAAAAAAGAGGTGTCAAGTTCCAACTTTCAACCAATCCCCACCAACCCTCAAACCATCCTGTTGAATAACCACAAGTTCACCCAATCAAAAAACTCAAAATCAAAAGGGGAAAAGTAACTTGTAATACAAACAGAAGCAACCAGACATACAGTTAGGAAATGCTAAAACCACTTATGCAGATATAAGTCAACCACGAGAACTGGGCAATACAAAAAAATTATAAACAATCTGAGGTTTAATCATCCAATTCAAGACAAGCTCACAGGAACATACTAAAAGAATTGGGTAGAGCCTTCAATTAACGATACTGGGGGAAAAAAAATAACCTTATAGCGGGGTGGAAGGTAAGAAGAAAAACACATGCCTTTTTAAGTTTGTTGCTTGCCTTTCGGAGAAGCAGAAGAAATTCAACGCTGTCCTGGCCTTACAAATGAGAACTTTTTCCGTGATCTCTCACCCTTTCTTCTCTTCCTTCTTTGGGGGAATTTAATTTATGTCATCATGTCTTCATTCTTTTTCAGGTTCTTGAATCATTCCAGATCTTTTTACTTTAATTTTTTTCGTTAGTTAATCGGCCCCTGTCTTTTCCTTCTTTATTCTTTTTATTTTTTTAAAATATGCAAATAATTGTATTTACAGCGGGTATGTGATTTATTTCCATTTTTCAGTACGACATTTTTTTTTTGTTATAAACAAATGGCACAAAAATGTAATTTTATATTGTTGAATTTGTTTGTTAACCATAGCCTATCACTATCAGTCCCGGCGATGCACTAACCGGATTCCTCAATAATGCTGGTACGTTTTTTTAATGTTTTTTTTTGGCAGTAAATATTACTCTCTCTGTCCTAAAATTATTGTCTAATTTGAGATTTTAATTTTAATACAATTTGAACTAAAAATGAAAACTCAAACTGGACAATAGTTTCGGGATGGGAGGAAGTATTATGACAGTAAAAGTGAGTTAATTCCAAGGATTTCTTAAATGAATTGTTAGAGACTATTTTACGTAACCAATGGCGGGGAACAAAAAACCTAGAAAAATATACTTTTCATTGTTTAAAGGAAAATAGCTTATTTTAATGAGTTAAAAGCATTACATACAAAACGAAATGGACTATTTTTCGGAAACATCACTAGTTTTTTATTGCACCTTTCAATTGATCATTACGAAATCTTTCAAAAATAAATGATAAATGAATAAATTCCTTATCCGACAATAAAAAAGCCGTAAAATTCAACCTCGATTATTATACGTTTGTTTAACCAAAGGGAAAATTTGGTTCTTTTCATGATCTCGATCTGGTCATAACTTTTGCTATATCACACATGGCTCCAAATTGAAAAACGAAACAAAATCTAGAAAAGGACAAAAAACATAAAAGTAAAAAAATAAAAATTATGGGAGTGGATAATGTTTAGTGGAATTATTAATCAGTGAACATCATTGTTTTGTGTCGTCCTGACTTGTTGCGGAAACATTGGTTAGATGGAGACTAAAAATAGAGAGCTAGGAGTAGGAGTGCCTCAATTCTTCCAAATCGAAGCCAAAACGAAAGGGATAAGAACCCAAAGCATTAATTACTCCAGCCGCCGGAACCCAAATTACCGCCGCGCGCTGGCCGACAGAACCCTAATTGGAGTCGCGGCCGCCAGTAGGACCATAACGATACACGGCTTCAGGTCCCATGAACTATCGGGTGTGCAGGTGTTTTCTTCTTATTTGGATTTGAAACGTAGCTTTTTATAATGAGCTGGGAAAGACTGCCCTGTTTTACCGTGGAAATTATTTTGCAGACTTCTTCATACTATTGCATTTCTCTTGAAGTTGTGGGATTTAGATTAAAAATTCTGCTGTTACCAGGATCGCCAACTTCTTTTGGTTAATTTCCTTCGATATTTAAATTTAAATTTATACTTTTTTTAATACAAATATCAAAACTCAAATTGGACTATTTATTTGAGGTAGGAGTAATTTTTTTAGGGGGAAAAAAAGATGTGTAATCTCTATCCTTATTCATCTATAGCGCGCGAGGTGCTTTATTCCTTTTTTTTTTCTTTTCTTTAATAAAAATTTGTTTTTCGTTTGTTTTTTTAATAAATTTTTTTTTCTGGTTTCTTTAATAAAAATTATTTTGGTTTTGTTTGTGATTTTTTTTAGCCTTTTACTCTATTAATTTTTTCCTTTTTGTAGATTCAAGTTTTATTCTTATTTACTTATCTATATTTTCTCTATTCTTATAAAAGAATTTGTTCCAATTATATTCTAATATTTTGATTGGTTGAGAGACTTCTGATAGCATCAGCAATTTTAAAAAAGGATAAAATAGTCAATAGATAAACAAAGAATTCCACAAAACTTAATAAAAAAAATAAAAAAAAAAAAACCCCTCAGCCGCATCCGACATCGTTTTAGTTATTCGCCACAAACAAAAAAATTAACACCTCAAACATCAAGACGTCGTTTTGATGCCACAACTCAGTATAACAGCTCGCGGTGACTTTCCCCTTCCTCATTTGGCCGTCTCCCTTCCTCCAACATCGGCCATCGCTTTTCCACCCAACTCTTCGCATATGGCCATCCTTCTCCCCCGCCGACGACCACTTTGCCGACGACTTGACCATCTCTGCCTTCGCGAACATCGCCGATGCCATCTTCTCCTTAAAGATATTTCTATAATCATTAAAAATCATTAGTAAGATTAGCTTCGTTCTTCTCTTGCGTTTTTGTTACCTTTTATGATTAGTATTTAGGCTGCTCTTGTTATCCAATAGTTTCTTTGATTTTTCGTGAAAAAGAGAGGTTATCTTGGGCTCCAAATTTCTCTGCGAATGCGGGGTTTTGTTTTGTTTAATAGGGCTAGTACAAGAAGCTCTCTTTTTTTTTTTTTTTTTCCGATTTCTGGAAACTTGGGAGGCAATTCACCTTATTATTAGTTCATTTAAGTCTAATCTTTTATACTTTTACCATGCATCTCAATTGACTCAGTTCCTGCTATGCAGTTGTCATCAAACTCGCATTTATACATTAATTCCTCGGTAACTAGATTTCCATGAGGAACTAAAACTTTTAAAGTTGCGGTTAGCACATTTCCATTTTTCCGTCAATCTTAATGAAATTATTTACAAGTTTCAATTGAAGAAGATCCATTAATGAAAGTAAATACTACTCAATTAGTTGGCAAAATAAGGGAAAAAAGTGTATATGGAGATTGAAGTGTCGTTGCTCTGGCCTGTTTAATCCGATTTTGTTGGCAGTAGCGAATTCGTTTGCTAGTCCACTATCAACGTCATTGTGCAAGATTCTTTAATAAGTTGAATGACAGCTGATATATGGTATGTATAAAATTAATCAAGATTGTTAGATAAAATTGGAAGGAACTAGAGCCTGTTACAGCTATAATTTCAAACTAAGTCACTTTAGGAACTGATTCCTTGTTGAAAGTTTGTTCACTTTCGGAAATCTACTTCCAAAAGGTTCTGTATCTTACATCTGGCTCTCCTTTACACAACAATGAGTACTGTTGAATATGCTTTTGACATTAGGCCACCATAAAGAAGTTAACTAAGGTTCAGACACGGTGTCTTACAATGATCATCAAAGCCGTCTTTTCTCAGGGCCCCTGATATCAACTATACCGAAGTATGATATTAAGATTTAAGGGAAGGAAATTTTGGTGCTTGGAGTAGTAAATAACACACCACCCAAGTATGTGAAAATAGAAGTAAACGGGAAACCAGCTTAGTGGCTGGTTCATGTCGAATTTTCGTGGGCCACGGTTTTGGGCCCTTTCTTTAAACTATTTTATTGGAGTTTTTCTCTCTCTCTCTCTCTCTTTTTTGTTTTCCTCAAACAACCTAGTTTGTTAATACATTTTAGAACAAAACTCACTTTGTGGTTAGCAATTGGGGATGGTTCGGTTGGTTCGATTTTTAGCCTAAACAGTAAACCAAATCACTAGAACGGTTTGAACATTTTTTAATCCAAAACCAAACCGTTTCGTATTTAGAAACCAGACCAAACCAATCCATAATCAACGGTTTGGTTTTGCGGTTTTACGGTTTTGCTCTCGCTTTAAAAGTTTTTTTTTTTTAGGGAGAAACATGAGCCTTTCGTTTTTTTCTTTGGCAATTTTTTTTTTAATTTGCAACAGAAAAAAAACATAACTTTTTCTACTAATTTCAATTCAACACATGTAAAAAATTAACGGTCGACAATTTTGAAAGAAGAAACAAAAATTCAAATAGTTACGCTTCAATTTTCAAAAGCCCAAAAAAAATTCAAAAATGTAGAAAAAGCGTAGGAAAAGTTTTTGAGAGACAACAAAAAAATAGTATAGAAAAAAAACGGGAATGCATGATGAGAGCTTTTGAAATCCAAAAGAAAAAAAAAAGGGTAGAAAAACAACCGAAAGAAGAGAGGTTTAAGAGAATTAAAATTGGGAGTTATGACTAAACATAATAATGAGTTAATTAAGTCTATTATGTCACAAGTTGTGACTAATACTGTACATTTCTATAAATTTTAAAATATGTAACTATTACTAAACGGTCAGGTCCGATTTTTGAACATGAAACCGTAAACCAAATAGTTTCTTCCAGTTTTCAAATTTTGAAACCGCCGGTTCTAAAATAAAACTTTGAAACTAATTCAAAACCCAAATCGCAGTCTGGATTGACTGGTTTGATCGATTTGAACCAATTTGTGCACACTCCTAGCTAGCAAGACCAAGTCATCATAAATTTACATTCAACAAAAATCATTCACCTAAAAAAAATTTCTCACCAATTCTAATTAATTTAACATTATTTTTTCAGACTTAACGGATTAACTTTTTTTCCCGTTAAGTCTTTTATTTTTTAATTAATTTCTTGAATGGTGGAGTCCATTAGTTTGACCAAGCAAACAAAAAATATTTTTTTTTTTAATTTTTTTTTATTAAAATGTAATCTCTTTACTGATTCAAATGTACAAAAAAAAAACTGATTGAGATATTGTATCTTCAACTTATAAAATGATACTGTGAGTCTATGACGCATGAAAGTATAACAAATAAATAAGAGAAATTCTACAATCCAGTTGTATTTAACTTAACCATTCAGTTGTGTTTTAACCAATAAAAAAAAAACATGACACTTCAAAAAATATTTATGGAGTGCGTAACATCGGAACACGTCTATACTCTCCATATAACTAAATTTAATCAAGTCACCTACTGCCGGTAACCCCCTCAAAGCTCCCTTGTTCCTTTGATTGGTTTTGTTTTATAGTAATGCGTTTGTCTCAAAATTATTATCAAATTTGAGATTTTACTTTTAAGTATAATTTAAACTAAAATTCAATGATATATAATTCATGCCTTGGATATAGGAGGAGATTGAATGAAAAAAATGGGAATCGGGTTGCTGAAATTGAATTTTCTGACACTTTAACAGTAGTAGTCAAAGACCGGAGAAAATTAATTAATTTGAAGAGAATCATGTTGTGGGTGGGCGTCAGGGCGATGGCAGTAAAATTGGACGTGCCAACTGTCTTTCATATGTTATCCACCTCATTAGGCCATTCTGTTTGTCCTCTATGCTTCCAACATCTTCTTTCATAAGTGACACTTTAGGGTGTGTGTTTTACATTTATCTTAGTCTAATTAATTTTTAGTTTGACCGAGGGGTCTATTCAAGTATAAATGAAATAGATACCGAATGCACTAGTCATCAAACGTGTTCAATGCCATTGATACTATGTAATCAACACAGTGTTTTTGGAACAGGGTGCACCCGATTTCTCAGATATCGGTGAATTAGGTGATGTATACGATATCGGATTCGGATTAGGGATCCATGAGCCTCCAACAAGTATGGCTCTCAAGAAGCATCTTCTTCGCAGGCTCAATTATCAGCTGTGCCCTCATGAGGTACTCCCAAAATTGTATCATTTCATCATAGTAGAAGTAATAATACGTTAATTTGGTCAATTGATTTCGGAAAACTAAAAGGGTCGAAATTACTTGTGAGTGGCTGTAGGATTCCACATTGGCAGAAATGCTGGTTCGACCAGGACCCATTCGAGCTATAACCTCTGCAAGATTTGGAAAATGGGAAGGTGTGTCGGAAGATGCAGTAGAGAAATTACCTCGGATTTGTATCAAAACCATGCAGGATCGGGTGGTCAAACCGGAGCAACAAGATGTAATGATCAAGAAGTGGCCGCCCCTGGATGTCTACCAACTGGACTGCGATCGCAGTCCATTCTTCTCCGCCCCTTTCCTTCTCTCTGGTTTGCTTGTCAAGGCCTTTTCTACCCTATGAACAAAGCTCATATTCATTTTGGGCCTCATGGCGACATGTCCAATCTTCCTGCCATTCCTCTTACCTACAAAGTTGCATTCCAAGTGCAGCAGACACCACCAGTAGTGTGTTTTTTGTAAAGTCAGTTCAGAGGTCAAATTTGATTCATTTGAACTTTGTAATTCTTGTTTTTGAAAACCAATAATATCGATTATTTGTTGTAATTATAATTAATCGATGGGCACTGCGAGCGTGATTCAGATGTGCAAGTGTGAACTGTATTGGGATTCTTTGTTATGTGAATAAACAATCACCACTCCTAATTTCAACTTAAGTTCCTCATTGTCTTGATCACGATAAATTATAACTGTATTTGGATCATTTGTTATATGTGAATAAAAATCAGTTCAACTACGCAATTTGTTTGATCACAAATTTTCTCCATTCACATGAAATTCATTGTAGTCTTTGAATACATGAATCATAACCATGAAATCAATAAGGGGAGGAAGGAAGCATACTATTATTCAACATAACTGCGTGTTGAATAATAGAACGTTCAAGAAAAAAAAAACACAACTGCGTTCGGCGAGATAGAACGTTCATTAATTGTTGCATACTACTCACATCAATTATACTATATTTTACATACTTGAGAAGTCGTTCAGTTTGATTTGCAAAATATCCCTATTGGGTCGGAAGAAAGAGAGCCTATCTATCTCTAAGCTCTCTTATTGGGTCGGAATAAAAAGAGTCTAAGCTAATGACATCGTGTTGACCAAATATCAATTTCAAAGGACATGAAAATCCAAACTTAACCGAATTATGTGCTAGCCAGAGTATCCGCAACTACATCATGGTTGCCACATTATATTTATTTTTCTTTTTTCAAAAAAGAAAGAAATCCATTATATTTATATTAAAGGAAAAGCCCAAATGCCAAATATGATAAAACATAGAAGTAAGCCCAATACTTTATCTCGTGAAAGAATTTGGATCAAAAAGTCCACCGTTCAATCTGACCCAAATAGACGCATTGCATTTCAAAATTCAAATATAATTTCAAAAAAGAATGTTTTCCAATTTTCGCACACATTGGCCGTTAGTGAAATATAAAACTTCAACTTTTCCCTGCCATTCGTGAACCCGTATTTCTTTAGTTTCTTGCCACTGTCAGTTTCTTAGCCTTCTCGTTAAATGTCTTTGAGATTCGCGGCTTTTATCCTCCTATAGCTTTTTCTGAACAGTAGAACCATGGAATCCGATTCAGAGCTCCGCAACCAAATCAAGAAAATAATTGCCGACACCGTGGAATTAGTCCGACAGAAGCTATATGATGAGTTCAGAATTGATTCTAGTGCCCTCTAAATTCTGATAAGTCAAGCAATTGAGCAGTATTTCGCCGCTCAAGCAGCACAGGCAGGAAACCGACGATGGCGACAACCAAGAAGCCGTAAAAAAAGTATTTCTAAGAATTTAACGTTTTTCTTCAAATTTAGGTTTTATGTCTACCTTAACACCAATTTCATGGTTGAAGTTATAGCAGTTTCAAACCCATCTTTTCTGTATTTTTCAAAAAAAAGTATTGAGACCTTTTAATTATTCTATAGAATAAAGAAAGTCATATATGAATGTCGAGTAGTCGATTTTTCTTTTTAACAATTGATCAATATTTATTAATACTAAAATTTTCCAATATATATGTATACATATACAATATATACATACATATATAGATACACACACATATATATACACACATATATGGATGACAGAATACGAGAGACAAGTGGTCGGATCTGATGATAAAAAACCGAAGTTGAACTTGCAGAAGGGTTGGTTTACGAAACTTAATCGTTGTAATTATTTGACTGCAAAAGGCAAGAGTATATAATCTATACTACTATTTATTATGCTCACCGACCTCAAATCCTATTCTCTTTATGAAATTGAAACCGGCCTCAAAGGATACGAGCCCAACAGAAGCACTATACAGAATATTAAAAAATAATATAAAAATTTGACAAATTTCTTGTTAAAAAAAGAAAGAGTGTAAAAATCCTACCATTGATGATTATACTTTTATTTAATCAAGGGGGAAATTTGGTTCCATTCTTGATCTCAAATTGGTCATAACTTTTGATACATTGGCCCCGACAGAAAACGAAACAAAATCTAGTAAATACAAAAAAAAAAAAATAAAAATTTATGGGAGTGGATAATGTTTTGTGGAATTAATGATCATTGATCAGTAAACATTGTTCATGACAGAAAAAATTTGGTTCCATTCTCGTCACGACTTGTTGCGGGACCATTGGTGGATGGAAACTACGCTGCTATTGCCACAAAGGCATGGGCCTCATCAAGTAAATAGCCCATTTAGCTCTGAAACAAGAAGCTAAGGAATGGATGGGACAAATTCCAGGCCTTAAGATCTCCCTTTACGGCCCAAATGATGTACATTTGCCAGACACGTGCAAAACAATAGATTGAAATTTTTAAATCTTTTCATTTTGGGAAAAAAAAAAAATTAACGCACACAATACTCCCCCGGTCCCTAATATAAGACATTTTGATTTATTTAAGTTTTACATAGTACGTATTTTTTATGGAAAAAATCTTAAAAATATATATTTACGTTCTCTTAGTTGTTAGGAAATATTTTTAAAGTTTTTTTTGTCAATTAAAAATACATATTATATAAAATATAGTACAAATCAAAATATCTTAAATGAAGGGAGTATCATAATTCCATAAATGAAGAAAGATGACGGCTATGGTGAAGTCGATATCAATACGAACCTAAGTATGAAACACGGACCATGTCTTCACCGACTTTACCAAAGCATGGAGTGGCTCCTGCCTCCTCCGATGAAGGAAAGTTTTCTAACTCGATAGTTGTTGGTACTAAAATTCAATAGTATACAGATTCGATCTGTCCGTTGTTATTTACTTTCAACACAAAATCAATATTGTAACGTTTGGCAATGGAATTCTGCTTAACTGAAATAAAACGACATGCAACATGGCATGAACATGTGTGCGACGCACATGCAAGATCATAAATAAATGGAATTGGGTTATGGACTGACTCGTTTAAGGTTGTTCCTTTTTGTCTGGATTTCATCTTTTTTCTTTTTCCAAAACTCGAATGTATGGCTTTTGGAATTAACCATTTTCAGTAATTGGAAGTATATATGTATCACATGGCATTCAACGGCCTGTAAAATTTTTACTTCTCGAAACTTTTTTTTTTCCTTAAAAAAAAAGCTTTTCGAAACTTTTTCATTCTTACTTTATGAAGAAAAGATACAAACTTTAAATGCTGTTAGCTGACGTACAAATTACAATGGATAGCTTTTGCTGCTTGTAGAGTTATCATGAATTGAAGTTGCTAAAAACAGCATTGAAGTTTGAAATTGGAAAGTTGGCATGAGTTCCGTATGTTTGGAAGTTCAAATGAAAAATATCTATAGTATATATATATATATCTATATATATATATATATACTTAATTAAAGGAGCAAACAAAAAGGACACATGTCAGCTCCATAATGAAAATTTTCCCTCTAAAAGTCTTTTTTAGTACAAAATGAAAATTGACATATGACACACTAACTATTCAGGAAAAAAAGAATGGAACAAATAAATGAATAAATAAAAAATTAGACTGTTGGGTCACTATCTCCTTCATTTATGAAAGCTTCAAAATTCGCCTTATCCCCCAAAAATCACTCCAACTATTTAATTTTTGAATTATCTTATCAGACCGAATTCACTCTCCTTATCAAATTCAAGTTTCAAAACTCAAAAAAAAAAAAAAAAGAATTTGCAATCTCCCTTTGTTTCTGATTTTTTTATAAAATTTACAGTCGTCGTTTTTCGCTGAATCGGAAGTGTCGCTGTTAAATAATCTCTAGATCGACAACTTAACCTTTGTAGTGACTACTTCAAATTTAATGACGAATCATGAGCCAATTGATATAACGAATTATTCGGCACAAAACTATGCCTTTCTGTTTTTTTTATGAAAATCAATGGTACCAAAGCTATCAAAGAAAAGCTTCAATCAAGGAATGAATAGTAATAGTTGGGGGTAGTTACATTTGTGCATTAGAGACCAAGAGCTTTGTGCATTTTGTGTATGTTGTGACTCTAACTACCACCAGCACTATGACATATGAGTGTTGCCATATCAAAGGTTCTTTGACTTTTTTTATCTCTACATTTAGGCAGTATGGTGGATATATAAGTTGATAATTTTTATTTTCCAAAATTCATTTTCTTTTCCAAGTTCTAGGTTTGAGTATTTTAATGGATCGTTGTATTGTTTGGTTAGATACTTTTTCTTTAACTTATTTAAATGACAAACACTTCCGGGCATTCGTCTAAGGCAAGAATCTAGTAACAAGTTAAAAGAATTGTCACACATCATCATAAATGTTGCACCAACAACACTAGCTCTACACGTAAACTGACTCAACTTATCGATATGCAACAGCAAGTGTAATGAAAGGTTTGAGTAATGGGTGTGAGATGAAATGCCGTTTCTGGGAAGAAAATCAATTCCCATTACTCCTTCCATTTCAAAATGTAAATTTTTCTATACTTAGCACGTAAATTAAGGAGATAATCATCCAATAATTAATTTATATATTAAATATCTATTTTGCCCCTTATTAATTACATTAGAACTATAAACAAGACTAAATAAAAATATATTAGCATCATTTATTGAGGATAAATTTGAAAAAATAGTCATTAATTTACCTAAAATTTGTAAAACGACATACATTTTGAAAAATTTCTCCAAAACTAAAACGACCTACACATTGAAATGGAGGGAGCACTTACCAGCAACAACTAAATTCAATATTTCGTGATAATTAAAAGGTGAAATAGGTAGCTATTTTTTTTTTCTCTTTGGGGAGAAAACGGGGTTTTATTATACTGCAGCTGTATCATGATTACGCTATTTTACTAGTGTAAAATTATACTCTATCCGTCCTATAATTATTGTCCAGTTTGAGTTTTCATTTCTTATTCAAATTGTAGTAAAAGTGAAATCTCAAACTGAATAATAATTTTGGGACGGAGGGAGTAGTATAGACGTGATTAAGTTTCACCCCCCGATTTATAGATAAAAGCTCCATAATCGATCCCAATTTCGATATAATGAAATGTGTAGCTCTAAATCCACACACACACACACAAAAGGGCACAGTGCCTTTTTGCAAATGCTGTAAGTGTAAACTGTGAAGTCAAATGTTTTGTTTGTTAACAACGGTAAAGAAATAAACAAGCCAAAGACGTGGACAGTGGTGGCTGTGT